TTTTTTTTTCATTTTGAATGTACTCAACATTTCCATTTGATTTCTCAAATTATTAATTTTGACAAATTTTTATAGATTAGAGATAAATTTCTGTCCAGTTTTTCTCTGAGTTAGAGGGGGTGGCTATGACTTGGAATCAACTCGATAGTAGTGAGTTTGTCTGTTTTTTATTATTATTATTCAGGTAAACTAATCAAACAAAACAGAAGGGAAAGGAGAAAACAAAAATGTTCTGACTGAGGAAACTTTACAGAAATTCTAAAACTTCAAAAATAAATTTCCTATCCCATTTTAAACATTTTCTTTTCAGGAAAATAAGTAACACTGAAAGGGATGTTTAAATTTAACTTGATTCAAAAAATTTTCCTTTTTAGCAAATACAGTTGTATATTTTTTATTTAGAAAAAACAAAAAATTACACTATTAAAGTACTGCTTGAACAATTTCTCTCAGAAAGATCAGCACAAGGCCAGTCCCCATGAAGCAGAGGTTAAAAATGTCCCAAATGTCCAAACTACCATGCCACTCCATCATTTCAGAAATTAACTCCTCCTCTTCCTTCTTCCAGTAATTTCTCCCATCTTAAGGCTTCTGTATTTCACTGTAACGCCTCACAGAACTCACAGACACCCAAGGGATTGTCTCACATAGTGGTGGAGGCTGGCAGGCTGACGAGTCCCAGGTCCATGAGTGGGTCTGGAGGATCCTCCCAATTCTCGGGGTTTGATGAACCTCAATCAGCAGATCAGATGACGGCTACTCTGATCCAGGGGTAAGATGAGGATGAGCCAAAGCACAAAACCAGAGCAAGAGGAAAGCGAACCTTCCCAGGAGATTCATAGATATACTCTCAAGGACGCTAAGGGTAGTGATGTGAATTATATCCTCCAGCAAGGCAGAACTCAAAATACATTCCACCTGTGTTGCCCCAACAGAAATAACCTAAGAGGACGGCTTTAACAATCAGCAGCTCAAGGCAAATCCCATCACCAAGCCGAATGCCAGTTGTAGTGCCTAAGGCACTTGACTGCTAACCAGAAGGCTGGCGGTTCAAATTCACCAGCCACTCCTCGGAAGGAAGATGGGGCAATCTACTTCCATAGTGATACTGCCTCGGAAACCCAAGGAGGGGTCGCTATGAGTCGGGTCTGACTGGCGGCACACAACAACAACAACAACAACAACATAGGGAACGACTACTACCAGCTGTCCAGCCAAGTTGATACCTGACCTAAACTACCACACCACCCCAAACAGGCATGGATAATAGGATTTACAATACATGACAGAATGGAGGACAATGGCTAGGAGGGGCACATCAAGCAAATCACCGCAAGTACAATACCATAAATAAGCCTAATAGCTTAAATGTATACCACGTATTGGGAGCTCTGGTAGCTTAGTGCCTAAGGCACTTGACTGCTAACCAGAAGGCTGACAGTCAAACCCACCAGCCACTCCTGGGAAGGAAGATGGGGCAATCTACTTTCGGAGTGATACTGCCTCAGAAACCCAAGGAGGGGTCACTGAGTTGGTCCAACTTGACGGCACATAACAACAACAACATACCATCTATTACAATTTTATAAAATGAACATAATAGGCCTTGTAATAGATTTAATTTTCTCCCCAATATTCTCAATAATTATACCCGAGATGATCTCTAAATGAGGAAGAATTACTGTAAATGATGACTTCCCAGAAACTTATTCTTCCTTTGCTACTTAAATAAATTTCAAGATGAAAGATGAACAATTTAAAACATGAATGTTTCTACAAAGAAGGTTTTTTTGTTTTAAAGTTAATATCTTGGTATTCTGAAGAAGAAATAAAACTTTGTTGTGCTAGATTAAATAGAAATATATAGCTTACTTGTAAAGAAAAGAAAATATAAACTAAAACTAGTTTTATGTACTTTTAGGTAGACATTTTTGGGAAACAGGTAGTAATGTTTTGATTAAAATATATAGCACCTTTGATTAATTCAAATTATCTGAATTCAACAAATATTTATTGAGCACCTACCATGCGCTAGATCACAGAATTGATCTCTGCCCTCTGAGAGCTTATAGGTCAGAATTATCTTTCAAAAATATCTTTTTTTTTTTTTGTATGATTCCATGCTCATGCAGCAACTTCTAAAATATAAATTCACCATCCCCAAAAGCTTAATACCCATAAAACTGTATTTTACCTTACACAAATCAGCTTTGTGATCAATGTATCAACATAGCCCTATTTAAATTAATGAATCTATTCAAGTTTGCACATCAGTCTTTCATGAGTGTAGTTAAGTGTCTTACGCTGGGTTCTCTAGAGAAGCTAAATCAGTGAAGCTGAGGGAGAGAGAGAGAGAGAGAGAGAGATTTATCTCAAGGAAATGGCTCACACTGTTGTAGAGGCTGGCAAGTCCCATGTCCATGAGTTAGACATCAGGCTGGAGGCTTCTCCTGATTCACACAGCTACAGGGGCTGATGAATCCAAGATGTGCCTATCAGGCAGCAGGTTGTTGGCTTCAGAAGTTGATGAATCCAGGACTGTCAAGTAAGACAGCAGACTGCTGGTTCACAGGCTACAGAGGCTAACAAATCTCAAAACTGGCAGGCAATAGTGTAGGCCACTGGCTCAAGTCCAAAGAACCAGATATCAGATGATAATGAGCCAGATGCAGGATCCAGATCAAGCATAAAGCCAGAAAGCTTTGCTAGCACTTCCATGTATTATTGGATGCAAGCCACCCTGGAGAAAACTTCCTTTTAACTGACAGGCTGCTCGTAGCAGGTCTCATCATGGAGATGATTATATTACATCATAACATTATATATATGTAATGACTACATCATTACATAACTGATAAACTACATCATAATCACCAAACCACTGAGAATCAAGACCCAGCGAAATTGACACACAACCTTAATCATCACAGTTAACTTGAGTGAATTCCCCAAAAGTCTGATCAGAGCTCAAAATCAAATATAGGAATGGAATACTCACTGCCATTGAATTGATTCTGACTCATAGTGACCCGAATAGGGTTTCTCAGGCTATAAATCCTTACAGAAGGAGACTGCCTTATCTTTCTCCCACAGAACCACTGAACTTTTGGTTAGCAAATACCTTAATCACTGTGCCACCAGAGCTCCTTGGGAGTAGAATAGGTCCATAAAAAGATCCTATCATTAAGAGTTTATTCTCAGACAAGATAACCTCTATTTCATCATGCCCATGCCCTTCAAACTCCAGTTACAGTTAAGTCATAAAACTGTTAAGAATAAATACCATATACTATGTGTTTCTCAAACTTTAATGTACCTATGGATCACCTGAAAAAATGTTAAAATTCAGATTCTAATTCAGTAAACAATGGTTAGAGCCTGAGAATCTTTACTTGACTATCCTCCAGTAATACAAAACATTCTGTCCACAGACAGGACTTTGACTAGCAAGACTTTAACACATCTGAGACAGGTTCTGGCACAAAGCCTATTCAGCCTAGTTAACTCTTTACATCAGTTTGTATGTCTCATCTCCCTCACTGAACTCACCTTTTCTTGGTAGCAGGAGCCATCCATGTCTTGTTCATCTCTGCATCTTCCAAAGTTTTAACCTAAGCAGGATAGGCATTAAATACGGTGAAACTTGTGAGAGCCAGAACTCAATGGGACTACCTTGTTCTTCTGCGTCTTGCCAGTTTTCCGCCTTTGACAGGGTGCAATCGTATCACTTTTCTATCGCTCATTTTAATAGAAAATATTTGCATTTTCTTTCTCTGACTTCCACCTTAAACATGTTCTGACTTTCATAGATTTTACTGTGAAATTACACCAAGCTAATGAACGGCATCCAGCTTTTAATAGTACAGTATACAAACTGATCAAAATTATAATGTGAGGAGCTCATCTCTCCAGAAGTGTGCTCCCTGCTCGCTGAACAGTTTCTGCGCAAAATCTCTGTGTGTTTGTGTGTCTCAGGTGAAAGTTTACACAGCAAATTAGATTCCCATTCAACAATTCATACATGAATATTTCATGACATTGGTTATAGTCCCAGAAATGTCAGCACTCTCACCATATCCACTCCACCTACCCCATTTCCATCTAGCCAGTCTCCCTGCCCTTCTTGCCTTTTCCTCTTTGCTTCTGAGTAAACATTGTTCATTTGGTCTCATACAGTTGAATGTGAAAAGGAGCACTTTCCCCACGAGTTTGTTTATTCTATAGGCCAATCTATTATCTGGCTATCGATGACCTCTAGGAGTTGCTTCAGTTCCAAGTTAAAAGGGTGTCTTAGGGCAATAGACTTAGGAGTTCCTCTAGTCCACCAGTCTAGTAAGTCTGGTCTTTTTTTATGAATTTGAGTTTTGGTCTACATTTTTCTCCTGTTTTAACTGGGGCCTTCTATTGTATCCATGGTCAGAACGGTCGGTAGTGGTAGGCAGTGGCAGGCAGGTACCATCAAGTTCTTTTGCTCTCAAGCTACAAGATGCTACGGTTGTACTGAACAATTTCTTTCCTGAGCCTTTAGTCTCCTTCACTCTCCCAATAAAATCTTTTAACTCAGATTTACTCATCAGATTTTTCTCTCCACAATACATACTTACATTTTTTAAAAAATTAAATCATTCCACTTTCTGGGGATGCTTTCAAACCTAAAATTATTTCAAAATAAAAAAGTAATCACTTTTCTTAGAATATACCTTACAATTTTTAAACAGCACCACAAAATTATAAGGGACATCTATAAAATAATTCTAGGTTCTAAGACTGCTGTACTACATAAAGATGAAATAATATCTACCAAAAGATAGATAGATCTTTGGCAGTTTCATTGGTTTCTCTACTGATTTTCTGTAGTAACAAGTGAGCAAAATCATCTCAGGAGTGTTTTTCCCCTGCAAACATTAGTTATTAACCTAATACTTTGTTTTATGCCAAGATATGTTGATATGGTGTTTTGTGTGCTAAAGAAAGGAAACAAAGGTGGAGTATTATTTTCATGGCTGTTTCCCTCTACTGTTTCATGCTTGTTTGTTTGAATACGGTTCTTGCAGTGTCGCTGCCAATTACTGTGCTAGCATAAAAAAAGATCCCAGATTCAAACATGTTCTACAGAGACCCTTTTATTAAGCCTTAAATAGGACAAAGAGTACAATCACCCAGGATGAAGGACACCATCAGCATGTACACAGCACAGTGGCCAAATGGAGTCCACTGAATGACAATCAGTGTTCATATTTGATAAGAGTATGAAAGAAATCATCACAAAATTATGATTGGTGACAGGTAAATTCTTCACTGTCACAGGTGAGACTAGAGAAGAGAGAGGGAGGGACCATGATTGAGATAGGTGCAAAATTTAAGATTAAAAAGGGTTAATAGGATTGGATTCTGGGGCTCAACCACCTGGCTAGTCACAGCCATAAGGTGGCAATACCAGGACCCCAACCTTTAACTTAAATTAGTTAAGAACACCCGGGCCAGTTCCCTAGTTCTTTCTTTAAACATAATGTCAACCACACTCTTCGTGAGGGCAAACTGCCCCATTCCCCGAGTTTGTACTGGACTTTTCAAAGCACAGCCACATTGCTGGTATAATGATCAAAAAGAACTCAATGTCTGAACTTACATGAAGACTCAAAATGGTGTTAGGACTCAAGCCTTCCACAAACCAAGTGCTTTACCATTTAAGCTCAAATATATTACTAAAAACTTATTGAGAATGGGCACCTACGAGAGGAAAATAAGCAAGGATTGGGTTTTAAACCACACTCTCAGGGAAAACAATTTGCAGGTCCTGCAAATATACGTGGATAACTGATTTTCCACCTCTCCAAACGTGAAACATCAATCCAGGGCATCTGACCCACCTTGAACCTCTCCACCCAGGCCCCTTATCTGCGGTTGGCGTCGCAACCGCGGGAGAAGCCTGGCCACGCAAACTGCTTCCTCGGGCTTGCCCTCGACTTTGCCATTTAGTCTTTATTAAAATTGTTTTAGGTTTTGTTTTAAGACACTAGCCGGCGACAAGGGAGTGCGCAAGCCTGCCGCCGGGCAGAAATTTCTGACTAGGAGAGGTGCGGAAGGGGCGGCTGTGACCAAGACCTAGAAGGTCTCCCCCCACGTCTTCGCTGGGGCAAGATGGTGGCCCCAAACGCCCTCGAGCAGGGCTCGGGCGGGGTTTCGACGCGGCCGAAGAGGATCCCACCAGATCGTAGCGGCCAGATCCTGTCCTCACCCAGGCTGCAGAGCGATGCCCACAGCCTGGGCAGCTTTCGGCGTGGGACCTGCAGCACCGGCAACCCCAGGCAGTGTTTGGAAGCGAAGATCCAAGGACCGTGAACAAGGACGCCATTATTACCTTCCCCTGCCGGCGCCTCAGCCGCAACCCGCGCGGGAACCGAAGCTCTGCCCTCACAGGGAGGGGCGGGGAAAGGAGGGCGGAAAGAGGAAGGTGGGGAGCGGGAAGAAAGAGGGGGGAGGCGGGGCGTAAGTCTCGGCCCCTGAAAGCCTCGGAACTGGAGGGGGTGGGGCTGCCTCCCTTGCTCAAATCTACCCTTTACCTGCGAGTAGGGGCTCAAGATGGAGGGTGGATGACCCCCATCAGGAGCTTCCCTGTGCGGCTCCCGGGTCGCGGTGAATAGCGAGGTCATTCGCTTTCTCTGAGCCTCTTACCTGTGCTTTCCCATTCTCTATCCTCCGCCATCTTGTTACGGAGCGCGTCGCCTGGGAGATGCCTATCGTTAACCAAGGTCGCGACGCCCTTTCCCCCTCCAGCCCCTGCGGCTAACCTAGCTGAGAGGATGGGCCCCTCAGAATCCCGGAGGCAGGGAGACCCTGAGGAGAGAGGCTCAGGAAGGGGAAGTGCTCCTAGCTGCTAGCGCGCGCCCGCACCTCTTCCTGCCACGAGGAGCTGTAATGCTGGGGTGACCAGAAGCCACTCCTGCCGCCGGAGACTGACTCGCCATGCATCCTGGCCCTTTCAGACTCTCCCCTTCAGTTCCTCTGGCTTTGGGGGAATTGTTTAATGCTAAGGTACCTTTGCCTTATTTCTGATCCACCTAGAGACACCACAGACACACTATCCTCCCCCGCGTTTGTACGACGTGGCGTTGCTCGAATTTTTACTGCAGGTTTTAAAACGCAGTCGAAAAACTAGGTGAAAAACCCGGCTCCCAAGGGGGTAATAGAACCAAAGCGTAATCCAGCTTGTTGTCTTCCTTCCTATTCACAGCCCGCGGCGCCGTTTTCTCTGGTCCCGCCTTCACCGCCCTCTGGTAGAAAAGGAGACTGCGCAGCCTGAGAACTGGAGCTAAGCGGAAAATTAGACTGGTTCAAGAGGAAACCGGAGCCATTAGACTGTTGCTACTGGAGAGGAGTATCTGCAGAAAACTTGTGTAATACGGGCACAAACATTGCGTCGTCAAGGCTGCAATTTCTGATTCAAAATAGAAGGTTCTCATAGCAACAAAAACTGGCCATTTTGTCTTCAGTGTTACATACATTTAAATGTTCCTACTTGTGAAATTTGGTAAGACTTCCAGTTAAAGTTAGTACGAAAAACTTTTAAATCCCATCCTGAAACTTTGCAGCAGTAGCATGCGATTACATTTTGAATGTTTTATTCTAAGGATGAATTAACAATTAGAACAATTTTTAATGACCTTTGAAAAACATATATAACCTTAAGTGGTTAGATAAAATTATAAGTACGTGTGTTGTGCTAATTTAAATGACGTGATATATGTGAAGAGTTAACTAAATATTAAGAGGCCTTGAAATTACAAGATAATATTTAATCATTTTATTAATAGATTTTTATGCTCCTATTAATTGTGGCCCTATAATCTTTAATCCTAAAGCAAACTGACTATATTCTTACTTATTAAGATAAGTAATTGTTTTCTATAGAAGATAATTCATGTGGTGGTGTGATCAATATTAGTAGTAAATGCTAGAATTCAGCTGTATTTAAATTCCATAATTCCTCGGAAGGAAGGTTGGGCAATCCTACTTCCGTAGTGATACTGCCTTGGAAACCCAAGGAGGGGTCGCTATGAGTCGGGGCCGACTCAACGGCAAATAACAACAACAACAACAGTGACTTGTTTTTAAAGATTCCCTCACTCCATATAGATAATGAAAGACTGAATAAATTGTCAAAAACTCAACTTTGTTCTCAGATTTACCGTTTACTCTGCCTTTTCTTAAGGAGCTCTGGTGGTGCAGTGGTTAAGGCATTTGGCTGCTAACCGTAAACTTTGGTTATACAAACCTAGCAGTCGCTTGCTGAAGAAAGATGGGGCAGTCTGCTTCTGTAAAGATTTACGGCCACGGAAACCCTATGGGGATTGCTATGAGTCCGAATCCACTCAATTGCAGTGGGTTTGGTTTGGTTTTTGGGACTTTCTGCAGGATGACCTCCTTGAAGGTCACCTCCTTCTAGAAGCTTCCCCCTGTCAACCTCTTCCTCTGTGACCCCTGTGTTTTTATTATAGAGCCTCTCACATTAATTCACAGTGACTTTGTTTAACTACTTATTTCCTCCTCCCAAACTGTAAGCTCTTGAAGACAGGACCTGCTTTATTCATCCACCAGCCGTGCTTAGAACAATTTTTTTATTTTTGTGTCTGTAATATATAAAATTAAGACAGGAGTTAGTCTTCTCAGGAACTTTTGTTAAAGACCTAGATTCAGCAAAGTTATTCCAAGTAAAACAGATTTTTTGCGTAATATTGTATCAGTAAAACTATTGGTAGTGCATGTTAATAAAATGGAGCCCTTATATGAACATTTATAAATAAAAACTAAGAGTTGATTAGATTCTTTGCAACCTTCCCCCCAAAATTTTTTTTGTATTTTTGACTAAATTGAACTATTTAGCAAAGCTTTTTATTATTTAAATAATTTCAAACCATGTTAGTCTCTACTTCTCTGAACTCCTAAAACACATAATGGAACACTCTTAAGTTTGAATGAGTTTTTTTTTTTAAAAAAAAAAGTGTCTTAATTAACCCTCTCCCGTTAGGATTGAGGGAGCTCTGGTGGAATAGTGGATAAGACACACTTGACTGCTTACTGGAAGGTCAGTGGTTCAAACCTACCAGCTGCTCCGCAGAAGGAGGACTATCAACTTCCTTAAAGATCTGGAGCCTGGGAAAC